TTATAATTTAGACTTTTTGTACCATTTAAGAGTTTGCATGGCCTTAAATGTAAACAATTTAACTGAAGACGTTTTAAGGACCCGCGGAAACCCTAGTGCAAATATTTCTGTCATGCATTTGGCAAAAAGCTTTTGTTGACTATGAATTTTTACCTTTGAAATTTGAGGCACGTGCAACTCTGGCGTCCCCGTTGTTTGTGAGCAGTGGTGTGATGGCGATTTAAATCAAATACAGATTTCCAAACATATGGGTATCCCCTTGAACTTGGTAAAAAGATCATCTGTTTACCATCTTAACTTGAAAATACTGTTTTCATGGTCAGTTTTTCATTTATTATTTGCTAATGTTAGTGAATGTTTACATTAGAGTGCACGTCCTACCAGAGTTGCCAACTAATTTTCAAAGAAAGTTGCTAAAGGAAGGTCGATTTGTTGCTAAAAGTTGCTAAATGATGTTGTGATGTCATTGCTCAATGACGTCATTGCGTAATCACGACGCAAAATTGTCACATCGTCAAACCTCAGCAAAAAATATATTTTAGATATGTTAATTTAAATTTGTTTTTAAAATAATATGCATGATATAATATTAAAATATAAATAACTGTATTTTTAAATACATTGAATTATTGAAAACTTACACATTTTTAAATGATTACAATTTAAGTTTTTTTAGTAGCTAGTAAACTCTACACATTCTCAACAATTATGCTTTAAGCAGTGTATTAGTAGTTAGTTAGTATGCCACACTCTAAGAAACGTCTGTAAAAATAAGGCACAATCTACTGTTAGTATGAAAGAATTTTCCGTAATGTTTTTTTTTACCTGTATTTTAAATTACGCATTGTGTTTTTTCGGGTTACAGGGTTACAATGGATGATGGATAATGGATAATGTCCTGAAAGATTTTTCATTTTTCTTATAGTGTACTAACTGATCAACAATCGCAGGTACAAGCTACTAACGCAGTGTATCATAAATGAACAATTATTCAATTATTATTACTATTAAATTGAACGATTGCACATAGCACCTAACTCAATTCCCGTGATGTGTGTACTGCTAGGCATCTGTGGTTTCCTCTTTTTGTGTAATTTGGATGGACAATGTGTGCCTTTTTATTGTCTGAGTCCTTATCAAAAGTTGCTAAAAGTTGCCAAATAAATGTTTAAAATTGATCAATTTGTTGCTAGGTGCTTTTGGAAGAAAAAGTTGCTAGGGTAGTCTGAAAAGTTGCTAAATTTAGCAACAACCCTTACAAAAAAATCCTGCAGGCATTCCTGAAGGAATTTAGTTCTGTCCTGCAGGATTCCTGCATGATCCCTGCACAGAAAGCAGCATTCCTTCAGGAATTCCTGCAGGATATTTTTGTAAGGGAAAATTGCTAAATTGGCAACACTGCGTCTACGATGAAATGAATAGGGGAGCGGCTGGAAATAGCGACCTCTCCTGGTTGGAGATAGTATTAACATCATAAACTGAAAGCAATCTTTACGTGACTTGCTTTTCAAATGTTTTAAAATTGATCATCCGAGTCTAATATGATCCAGCGGGCCGTACTAAAAGACACTGCGGGCCACCAGTTGCCCATCCCTGGTCTAGAATAACCTCAACACCAGACAGAAACTGAATGCACGTCACACCTCTATTGCATTTGATCATGTTCTAGCTGGGGTCTCAGAGACCCCAAACAGCTCACCCAAAATATTTTTGCTACTACTCACGTCAATTATTAATCACACATTTGTATATTTTATATTATTGATCAATATGGGAATCCATTGACCGGACTACGCATGACACGAGTTGGCACAGATTAAAGGGGTCATATAATGCTGCTAAAAAGAACATTATTTTGTGTATTTGGTGTAATGAAATGTGTTTATGCGGTTTAAGGTTCAAAAAACACATTATTTTCCACATAAAAGCCTCGGGCTGTGTCCGAGATCACCCCCTATACCCTTAAATAGGGCACTATTTGAGGGAACAGACATTTTTAGTGGTGTCCGAAACTATAGTGGACGTTCTCGAGTGCACTCATTCAATCCCACAATGCACTGCAAAAACGAGTGTACAACTGGTGCATGCTAGACGGCAACGGCTAGAGAATGCCCATAATGCACCGTGAGAGTCACGCGCCGAATGAATTCCCGCGTCTCGCCAGAAGATGGCGCCCGCAGCTGAATAATCAATCCGTTCATTTTTACAAAGCGCTCATCCGTGGCGTACAGCACAATGTACAACACAGGTATAAATTAATTGTAAATTGATTATTAAATTGTTTGATTAGGGTTTATACATAATTTCCGTGACAGAGTTCAAGATAAATCATTTAATCTTACTACTGGAGCTGCTAGTTTGCTAGTTTCAAATGATTAATAAACAGCAAGCACAAACTATGCAAAAGCTGCATTCCTTCCGGTGCACTCAGTGTCCGAATTCACTACTCGTTTTCATTCACTCCTTCTAGTGAACTGAACTAGTGACCTAATGTAGGGAATAGTGAATGAGGGTATAGGGGGCGATTTCGGACACAGCGGTTTCCCATCACTAGAAAAAATTGCCGCCCCAAATTATGCCGACATTAAACTACGTTGTTATATTTCGATTATAAATATACCACATTCGTTTCAAACTGTTAGTTACATTTTTGTTTATTAAGTGATTTACTTTTGGATCAAATTGAACTCTACAATAATTTATAAATGATTATTATTATTATTTTAACTACATCACCTTTCAATCCGGCATCTACAGCGGGCAGCTGGGGCCTTTCCCTGGGGTCCTCAGTCAACGTGTTGCCGAACGTTTGTATGTGCGATGAGCTGATGGGCTTGTTTTGCTTGCACGTTTTTAGATATTTGGAGGTACGTGTACGATTCCGCTGATATTTCTGAACTAATACCATGATGCCGGGGGAGAACCAGTCCAAAGCCGTAGGAATCGCCTCAGAAGCTACTTCTGGCACGTGTCAAAACTGCACTGTTTTAAATCAGGTGAGAACTTCATTCCTTACGCCAAGATAGTGTCCACTATTTGAAGTCACTTAATTGGTTACCCAAGTAATAATGGGTGTTTCATGAGAGTTGGAGCAGATTAATAATGCAATTTGTTAATATAATACTTATTTGGTTTTAATAGATGGAAATTGAGTATATCAATACGATGTTGTTTATATTACGTCTATCCTAGTCATTGTTGATTGTAATTATACAGTAACTTCTTATAAATGTGATTTCCAGTTAGTGGTACGCAACTGAATATTGGTTGATGTTATTTGATTAATTTGGTGTTTAATGCAGGTCATCTGTTTTGACGAATTTCCTTATTCAAACCATCATGCTGTCTGTTGATTACAAGTAAAGCTGCATTTGTATGTCTGTGATTCTACGTTTTCCAGAGCTTGGATGAATATGTGGCTGCTTTGTTAACTCTGAAGCAGAAGATCGTTGACACAGAGTGAGTGTTTTTTATTTTATTTGTAATTATTATTATTTGGTATAATTTCAAGATGTTTACCTCACTTGCAGTGTAGCAAAAGAACAGTGTTAATTAAGATATTACGAAGGCTTAGGTCTGACTTTGGTTTTTCTGTATGAACTGCAGTATTAGAGTCGCGTGTTGTCATGACATTAAGCATTTGTGTTGTTTTGTGGCTATCCACCTTTTTCTTGTTGTAAAAATGGGCGCGGCCATTTGCAAATTCTATGGGTCTGGCTTCCGGTCTCGTCTGCGTCTACTCCGTCCAGCTATTTTTAGCTGAACAAAACAGTTCGTTTTGCTGCTTGATATTGAACGTTGGTGTGACTTAACGTATTTTTTAAATGTATTATCTTAATTTGTAGTGCAAACAGTTTTACCATTTACTGCACTTTGTTATTCTCCTCGTTATTTACCTATAGCGGCTAATGAACCGGAAGTCTCACCCATAGGCTTACTTCTGCGTTGAAGAAAAATGTGGATAAGGAATTGGGAATTCATAATAAAATGTATGCAGTTCCTTTGTAAATGTGCAAATAAGCATTAAAAGCAATTAATGACACCACGACATGTGAAAGTTGGTTGTGGACCAAGTCATTTAGAGATTTTTAAATTTTAATCATACATTGCATATACATTTTACAGCAAATTATTATAAATAAATAAAAAATATATAGCAAATCTAAGCCTTTATTATGTGCACATCAAAATTTGGATAGAGCATGTTCTTCAAATGGTTCAGGTTTTAGTAATTGCAGTTGAATAGCAAAAGTTTCATATTTAGGATTAAGGGTTTCTTCTACCTAGAATATTTAAAGAAATATCATTACATTTTTTAATACTGTAACTATAATTATCATGTTTGACCGGAAGGATGTTTTCTTAACTTGTTACTTGCTGACTTTTTAGTTTTATTTGCAATGTCAAAAATTATGAAGGTATTTATTCTATCTAGTAACTTTTTTACTTTATTTTCAGCCGTCTCTTGAGTGAATACAAAGAGAAGTGTGATGATATCCTTTTATAAAGCTATGTAGATGATGATGTTGTACTTGTTTTTGTCATGCTCTCTGTTGGCTTACTGATTGATTTCATTGTAGACTATAAGCATATTATCTGAGTTTGCTAATGAGGGGCTGTTTGGTCCTGAATTAAAGGGGTCCTGTTATGCTCTTTTACAAAGTCTTGATTTTGTTTTGGGGGTGTACTAGAACATGCTCGCATTGCTTGGTAGTTTGAAAAATGCATTATTTTTCACATAATTTACATTAGTAAAATACCGAAAAACAAAATGTGTTGTGATTGGTTAGCTGTCCCAGTGCGTTGTGATTGGCAAACAGCTTGGATAGTGTTTCAGTACTGCCACACCCCCTTGCGCCGTCTTTCAACAAAAGCTTTTGGGCAAATCCGGCACTGTACTCCCTCATGTTGTGGAAGCTGTCCTCAGTAAAATGCGCAGAACACAATAGCAAATTGGGGTTATAATGCTTTCGGAAGCCCAAACAAAGACGTTTGGGCACGGAGGTGAAAATAACAGCATTTCAGGCGGTCGCACACCGGAAGAGAAGCGCAGCGTCGCACCACGTCTTTAAAATTCAAATACATTATTTTCTATGAGTGTAGGCACACCGGCAGCGCTGTTCGGCGTCTGTCCACGGCGCCCAGCTACGTCGTGTTGTACTTGTAAGAATTGTTGTAGACATGCCGAAAATTTGAGGCTACAGCACAGCAGCTCTTCTTCTTGGTTTTCTCTGATGCACTAACTCTGCAGCAGCACTTCTTCTTCGTCGTCTCGTCTGATGCACTCACTCAACCAAGCGTTCTAACCACAACCTCGCCCCTCCCCACCCCCCAACCATTCGAATTTCTGTAGGCAGGAATTATTTTTTTATGATATTCTAATGAGCCGCTTTGTGATATCACAAAGCCCGGAAAACCAACGCTGTAGTCCAAAAGAGCCGTTCGTTGTAGTTCTTGAAAAGGGATTTTTAAAAAAACGAAATATCTCCTTTTGCAGTGGACTTTGAGATTTGTAACTTTCTAGATCTTTTTTTATGCCCAAACATACACACTACACACTGACTAAAATTAAAAAAGTTAAAAAGCATAATAGGACCCCTTTAAGCAATATCATATGGGCATGAGTGTTGTTGTATTGAATATCAGCCCAGCCACATTAAGCTGCAGGTAATCACAGCCATACTGATATTCATTGCAACAGCATGGTTGTGAAAATATTACATTTATAAATTGGTTCAAGAAACAAAATTAGTATTAAACAGGAACTTTTTTTTTTCATTTTAATTAATTTTAAGTACAAATTATATTTTTACTGTCTGCTATGCGACATCCTTTACAAATGGTAAATGGTTAGGATGAAATAAATTAACATTTTGAATGGCAAAACTATTTTCACTGCAATCAAGCATGTTTATAATTAGGAAAATTCATTCAAATGACCTGTTTTGTACTGCAAAAAATAGCTAGAAGCAGGTGCCACTTGAACCCTAGCACATTTAATTTACAAATGTCTGTGGATACAGTCACTGTTCTCTTACACAGCAGAAAAGCTACTGGTGTAAAAGCTCACATGGCAAAGAGGTGGTATGTGTGTGTAAGAGTGTGCAGGCAAAAAAAAATTAAAGTGAAAAAGTTAACAATAACAACGCCTTTAACCAGTTATCAGCATAAGAAATAACATTTTCACTTTGGAACAATTAAAACGTTTTTTGATCCTGTTTTCGGTTACATTTAACAAAATAATTGTTTTTAATTTCATTGAACCATTTCTAATTTCTGATATCAAATAAATTACATTACAAAGAAAATTGTCAGTTCATAATTCCAAAAGAAAGTGTCAAACTTTCATGCTAAAGCAAAACACAGAACTGAACCTTTCCCAGGTCATTAAAATTGTTATCTTTGTAATTAATTGTTCTGCTCATGCTCTACTCTGGGTTTTCCATGTCCTGCTCAATGCTTGCTCGTGAGAGTAATCTGATCCCAGAGTGAGAAAACACACAGATACTCCAACTTTAAAGGGGTCATATGATGCGATTTCAATTTTTCCTTTCTCTTTTTGTTACAAGCTCTTGGTGCATAAAGAAGATCTGTAAAGTTGCAAAGACTGAAGTCTCAAATCCAAAGAGATATTC